CTAACTGACTAAGCGACTGATTGACTGACTGACTGAGTGACTGACTGACTGATTGATAACTGACTGACCGACTGACTGACTGACTGATTGACTGACTGGCAGACTGACTGACTGACTGATTGACTGATTGACTGAGTGACTGAGTGACTGAGTGACTGACAGACTGATTGACTAACTGACTGTCTGACCGACTGACTGACTGACTGACTGACTGGCTGACTGACTGACTGACTGACTATCTGACTATCTGACTAACTGGCAAACTGACTAATTGACTGATTGACTGACTGACGGACTGATTGGTTATCAAAGCTCAAGCTAAGCCATAAGATATCGCAAAAAAATCGTGCTGCGATTAAAAAACACTTGTACTTTCGTAAATTCATACGTTTGAAATCCTAAAATAATGTTGACCATATTTCTGTTATACAATGAGCTTACTGTACGACAAGCTAAATTGAAGTACAGTGAAAACTCACTTGTGCGAAAACCGACAGCTGGGTAAATTGTTTGACATAATTTTGAGCCTCGCTAACTAGTTCAAATCTGGATAAAAGAATCCGTTTTTTCTAATTAATAGAAATTTTAAGTTCTCGTCCGTTTAAAAAGGAGTCTGTCAGGAGATTTTTCAGCAAAAAATAATTATTATGTGAATATGTGAATTAATTATGAACACTTCGCGCTTGGATGAACCAAAAGATAAAGAGTTATATATGTATTCCTGAGGCATCCGATTTTGATAAAATTAAAAAAAAGTTTGGAAAACTAACAAAATACACATGTTTACCTAGCTTAAGCCTTTGGTTTTTAACATAATTTGTTACGTATTTAATAAAATTTAATTATTTTTAATCCGCGTTAACTTACATTTTAATATTCGCCTAAAACTGTGCCACAGTTTTGTGAATATCTGGGTGAGAATGCACAACAAAGGAGCTGATTAAATTAAATAATGTCCTAGCATATTTATGCCTTTAAAGATATATTTAATTATAATTAATCAATTCATTTCAAAATCGATCAAGTTTATTAGACTTAATTGCTCTCTTTTGCTGGTGTATTTTATTAACAGCCGAAAAGTATGCAATACTTTTGAGATTTTAGGAATTCAAAACGAGTTGCAAATTTAATTTGTGCAATGTATTTACCGAAATGCATTTTATCTCAAAAATGACATTGCATTTATCTTAAACTTTTACGGGTTTAGTATAATAAGACTTGAATTATGTGCCCAAGAATATTGAAAAATGTTAAACTTGAACTTTGGCTGAACTTTGGCCGGAAGTAGAAATGGCAATTTGTTGGACAATAAAAAAAGATAAACGGACTTAGTACTATAATTTTGATTTGGATGAATGCAGCTACTTTTTTTATTCTTGATCAGTTGTTTCGGGTAATGAAATATTTTGGTGAACCTTGAACAATACTATTATGGAATTCAATGAGGTAGACGATCGATTATATCAATGGTCAGGAAAACTTCGCTGAGTTCTATTTGGAAAAATGTCACAAAAATTATGTATAAAAGTTACATAAATTTAGATCTTATAGTGCCTGACTCAGGCTCTTGATGCTGTTAATCAACGGGAATTAAGAAATTATCTCTTGCCAAGCCATTTGTGGACATGTTGAAGAGAGTTGGGGCAGTTGTGGCTAGTTTATGAGATTGGATGCATAATTTTAAATATGCCATTTAACTCAACCCAGCCCAATACACATATTAGAGATATACAACTTTTGGGCAGAGCAGTCTATCGCTGGCCAAAAATGAATTCCCAAACTGGCCGATCGGCACTATTGACACACTTGGGCCAGGTCGTAGTCCGCATTGAGTACTGGACAAGAAGACAAGACCATCAACGCACGATGGAAAGTATCGCCGGGACCAGTCGTGGATTGCCAAATGCAAACAGCTGCCGCTCGAAGCGTCGATGTCTTTGGCAAGACTTTTTGACTTTGTCGCGTTTTTTATTTGTTTGCCAGACGCAGTTAACCAATTAACAGCTTGGCAGCAGCTCCATTTCATTGATTCATTCATTAATTCTTGCAGCCAGCAAACGTCATAAATGCTACGCGCGTTTCTATTGCCAATGGCGAATATATAATTGTGGCTAGCTCTTGAGCTGAGAGATGGCTTGTATACCCTGTAGCCTAGCCGAAACAGGGTATGGCGACAATGTACTCATCCTGCAACTGTACAAACAACCTGGTCGATCTAGTCATGGGATTTGGGCAGAAAGGTTCTTAAACTTACCTTAAACAAGTTAAGTTTGAATTATCTATCTATATCTATCTATCTAATAATATCTATCGCCCTCCCCTCCCCTCCACCAATATATTCTTCAAATTTTATCCGTTGAGAGATATACTTATAGCTCGACTAATAATATTATTCAATAAATTATGAAAGATATAAAATAAAATCCATGTCCGTCTATACTAAAATATATAAATATTTATCTTACTTAAACTCCAAGCCATATATACATATGGGTATCAGGTTTTATCAAATTATTAAATAAAAATTAACAATTAAAAATATTTAAAATATTTAAGACTGACTTTACTGACCTCTTTTAAATGTGATCCCGATTTAAATTGATTGAGTTTTATTGTCAGCAACATTTCCAGGATATCGTGAGGTCCGGCAGACACTTAACTGAATTCTAATCGAATATCACGAGAGCCGTTTGTTTAATCAACCAAAATAAACATTTATAAAAAAAAAAAAATCAACTAAGCGTCAGTTTTGGACATCGTCGCGTCAGATTTGCAGCTTCTCAGCTTTGTAACTTTGTGGCTTTGCAATTCAAATTCAGTGCTGCGTTAATTAATTGAATTCGAGTGAGTCGAAAATACGCATACGCAGCGTGGAGCATGCGCATTCGATGCATTTGCGAAAAATGCACGGCATTCGCCGGCAAAAAAAAAAAAAAAAAAAAAAACAAACTAAATAAAAAAAATTCTTCACATTGGGCAATGACAATCCAAAAAGCGCGGCTGCGCCTTGGATTTGCTTTTCATGCATTGGTTAATTAGGCTTCAACGTCGACATCCACGTCGCAGTCAGCGTCGGCGTCGGCGTCGGCGTCGTCGTCGGAGTTTAAATCTAAAGCATTTTGCACTAATTTGGTGCGCGCGTCGCGCCGCGCCGCCCGATTGCCAAATGCGTCGTTTTGTTGGCTCTAAATAAAGCAACTGGGAGGCGCCTTATGGTGCGCCTGTTGTTGACTGGCAATGGGCAATTTGGCATCTGATTTTACAACCCTTCTCTGGCCAGTTGACTGACCAGTTGGCATAAATTAAAACTTAACGCGCACAAAAAATATAGAACTGGAAAAGAGTCGATGGAACTATCGATTACATCAATGTCTTTGGTGTTTTGAAAACTATCGGTGATCGCTGTTTTCGGGGTTTTCCCATCTCTTGCCCTTTTTGAGCAAAAGCGACAAATAAAATAATTTTAATAAAGTCATCACAGTCGGATGCGATAAACCGGAAGACCTGAAGACATAAATTGTATTAATTAGAAATAATAAATTTGTTTCTTGTTAATATTACTAATCTCTCCCAATTATTTTCTTTTTAAAAACATCAATACTATCGATGTCTGAAGTCTAATGGTATCAGATATCGATGTTTTTCCAGCTCTAGGAAAAAAGTCACCCACTTTTCGCACGCGGCAGGCAGTTGAAAGCAATTTTCACGCTCTCCAAAACTGGGGCAGGCATAAAATCTTTTATTTATAAACATTGTAGACAGACATGCGTACGCATTGGTCACAGTCTGGTACTGCTCGCAATTGTTATATTGACTTAATATTTGCTAATAGATTTCACATAAATCACATTCTTCTGGCATGATTTATGCATGAACTGCTAGCACAGGTGTCTATCTGTCTCATGGTGTTGCCCAGGCCTCTCTCGAGAGGAGGCTTCAGCTTCAGCTCGAGTGCAGCAGCCAAATAACTGCTGCGTCACCATCGCAGCTCGACCTAACACCTGTGCGCCACAGCGGGTCGATTTACCCAGTCGAATCGAACTCGTTTTCAAAGTTCTTTGTCAAAATTTATATGAGATTGGAAAATGAGGGTTATAGGCATGAATGCATAATTGTTGGACTTAAGCTACGCATTCAAAATAAATTAATATGTATTTGAATTTGAATAGAAAAGTTAAGCAAAAACTAAGCGCAGGCAAATTACTGTAAAATTCCAAATAAGTGTAACCAGACATCAAAAAATAAAAAACATAAAAAAAATGTGATGCCAGATCGATTTGAAATAAAAAGGAAGAAAAATTAAAGCTCGGTTCAAACACATTTGGGGGTAAGGAATTGCCTCCATTTAAAATAGAAACAGATCAATTTAAGTTGTTTTAAAACTTCAGCCACTCACCAGATTCACAAGCGCAGGCTCTGAGTCAGCTTTTGTGCGGCTTACAAGGGTTAAGCGCAACAGACAAAGTCCCACGAGTTGCCAGCGTGCTCTCCATATGTTTTGAGACCAAAAATGTCCGGCGTGGCCGGGCAACTTTGTAAAATGCAATAATAACAACAACACGAATAAGAAAAATCACAATTTTTAGCATTTTGGCAAACACACTCAAATATGGTCAAATGTGGCACGCAGCGGCATTTTGGCCCGACGGCAAAAATCCATAAAGATTGTTTAGAAATTTGTTGTTTTTTTTTGGGGTTTTTTTTTTTTGATCATTATTTCGAAGCAATGATAATTATGCAATTCTTGGCCGTGTCAAATTGCCGGCGTTTTTCAACAGCGCCTGGCGGGGCACAGCTGAGAACAATTAGACGACATTCTCGCCTGGATTCCACACATACATATGTACATAAATATGTATGTATGCCAATCGTAGGCTAATTAAGTGGTTAGCCACAAGGTTAGCTTTAGCAAGAGTCAACCGATTTGGTAAGAAGCAAACAATTAGAATTCTCAATGAATGCGGCTTTCTAAATAGAAATCCCGAGCGACTGCCAAACTCTCAACCAGGCTGACCCCCACTCCCCACCCGCCGCCCACCACCTGCCGTCTGCCGCCTTTGACGACAAGTGGTCTGCCTTGCCAGCCAATCGAAGCGGACCAGAGCCGTTGCGTCATCATCATCACCAGCAGCAACAACAAGAATCCCAGTCGCATTCAGACGTCGTCGTCGTTGTCGCTGTCGTTGTCTACTTCAAAGATACTTCACAAATTGGTGCTGTTTGGCCCGCTTTGTTGACGCTGAACGACGAGATCGAAATCGAAATCGTTGGCCTGGCCTGGCCTGGCCTGGCTATCTAGCTAGTCATCTGTCCGCTGTCCGTGTCCGACAAGCGTCGACTGCGTGCCTTGTTGCAGTATAAAAGTAACTGAGTGCACGCAATGAATTTACAGTTGCAGTTCTCAGTTAAAAGCTTAAACATGAAACTTCTGGTGAGTTTGTTGGATCTGTTCGTGTGTGTATCCTTGTGTGTCTCCTTGCTAACATTGCGCTTCTGACAGATTCTAATCACTTTGTTGGCCGCTGCAAGCGCTGCACCCGGCTTGCTGGACTACGGTTTGGGACATACGGCCCCAGCCATTAGCTACGGACACGCGGAGCCCGCCATTACTTATGCACATGCTGCGCCCGCCATCAGCTACGCACATGCAGCGCCCGCTGTGACCTATGCCGCAGCTGCTCCAGTCATTAAGTCTTATGCGCCGGCCATCAGCTATGCAGCTCCGACGGTGGTCAAGTCCTATGCACCCGCCATCAGCTACGCTGCGCCTGCTCCGGTGATCAAGTCGTATGCGCCAGCCATCAGTTACTCGGCTCCGACGGTGGTCAAGTCATATGCAGCACCATCATATGCCGTCGCAGCTCCAGTGGTCAAAGCCGTCGCCGCTCCGGCCACCAGTTACTCGCACTTCAGTTCGGTAAGATTGAGGTTCTTTAAGTTCCCAAACTGACGAGCAGATTGTGATTGTGATCGTCTTTCTTTCGGCAGGTTGTTTCCCACGCCACGCCCATCATCAAGTCATACGCAGCTGCGCCCATAGTTAAATCCTATGCCGCACCAGCTATCAGCTACGCCGCGCCAACTGTTGTTAAGTCCTATGCCGCCCCAGCGATCAGCTATCAGCCAACTCTTCTGAAATCCTATGCCGCTGCGCCAGCTCTGTCATACGGCGGTTACGATGATCATGGCTATGGCTATCACTAAGAGGCACTGCATCCGGCACGAGACATGAGCAGGGATGGCCGGAGTGAGGCATAGGAGTAAGCGGAATAAATAGATTCAATGAGATAGAGATAGAAGGAGAGAGAGAGAGAGAGAGAGAGAGAGAAAGGAAGGAGTTGACAGACGCACGTTTTCCAAAACTTTTTACTTTTTAACACATTCCCATATTTCGTATATTCTGTATTTATTTAAGGCTCAAACACTGCAAATAAAGAAAAATTACATTTTTCAAATGCTTCTTTTGTAATATTTCACGCGATAAATCAGAAATCAGGAACAAGTGAAAAACTCCTTGACTGAAGTTATATATTAAATAAATGCCGAGTTTGGTTAAGCAATTTTTCTTTCGGAGTTGCAAGTTAGTTGAGAGTGGGAAAAAGAAAAGTTAGAGAGAAATCAAGAGTAAAGACAAGGAATAGGGACTCGCACCCCTTTGACAAATTTGTTTCAAACATTTTTACAATACATTTTTGCTATTCTGTATTGACCTTACCTTAATGATTTAAGATTATCTTTCTTTTTAAATACTGTAAAGATCTTTTACATTTAGTACGATAAAGCAAATATTGATTGCAATAAAGCTTCCATTGTTTAAAATCTTTGCAAGCTGGCGCCACGGTTGCTCCTGAATATCACAGTACGCCGTTGCCTGTGGGCAAAAGGATTTAGAAGATTTTTAATGGCAATGGACTCACGTGTTTTAATCTTACATCAGAGAATCGCAGTCCTAGAATTAAACGCAGTGGAGTACAGTTTATTAGGGCCAAGAGCCAAGCTGGCGCCTTGGCGCGGGGTGGATAGCATTCTAGCCACATGATGGCCACGTGCAGCAGATAACAATATATGGATATCCTCATAATGTGCTGATAGACTGACACTGAATCGAAAGGTAAATGCAACAAGTTGTCAATGGCAATCATGGCAAAACTTACTCAAGGGCGGCACATAGTGCGGCGAGGCGTGGCGGGTGAGGTACATCAGACCCCAGGCCGTGAGCAGGAGGACAATAAGTATGAGGGCGCCGCGTCGATAGCCGCGCAACAGAAATGAAAGCGCAATAAGAATCTCAGTTACTGCCAAAAGGGAAAAAGGTTATTCTCACTTCGGAATAAGATAAGGATAAATAAATAATTACCAAAGAGCGGCATTACGAAGACAAGTCTATAAAATTCGCTATTTCGCTGCAGCGTAAATCCTATGGCCACATCGCCAGACATGGTCTGAAGCAAGCCTTTGGGTGTGTAGCGGAAAGTCGTGGCATTCTCCACATGCGTGACGGCAATTTCCACAAATGTCCAGCCGGATGGTGTGTTAACGTGCTCGTTGGGCGCCAGCGGTTTCCGGCGATTATCGTAGGCTAAGGCTATGCTTGCCTGATTCTGATCCACGCCCAGTTGTATGTCGCAATTGATGCGCTCGTTGGGCCAATTGCGTGCCGTGTCCACACACCACGTTGTCAGTTCCCAGTTGCTGACTATGAGGCTGACATTGCCATTGCTATAAACGCGCAGCTCAAAGCTTTTCAGCGCCACGCCCAACGACTCCAATGCGCCACTATAACAACATTTTAAAGGGTATTACAATTTTGCCATGCAACGTGTAAGCTGTATATACGTTATATATCTTCTCGATCAGCATCAACAGCAGACTCAGGTAAGTCTGTCTATTTCTAAGCATGCTAGACACAATCTTACGAGCCTGCCTTTGGTTAAATAAACATATACAAGAGTTTTTCTTACAAAAATACAACTATAGGGTATAGAGAGTTGCTTCGTTCTAAGCTAAACGCAATTCATGTGAAAGTTATATCATGGTATTGCATTTACTTACTTGAGCACCACAATCTGAGGTGTCCATATTTGCAATTGGGGATGCTTCAAGGATGTCAATCGCCCATAGCTCTCAGGCTGCCAGCGCAGTCGTTCATCTTGCCAATGCATCATGAGCTGCATGCGCGTACGCAACAATGCACTCGACTGATCGTAGGATAGGGAGCGCATTTGAAAATTGAACTCAATCTCGCTGAGATTGCCGGGCAGGCTGCTGTTCTGCGCCTGGTAAATGAGTGCGCCCAGCAATCGCTCCTCGTCTGATTGCTGCCGCTGTTGCTGCTCCATTTCATTGCCTAGGGAATAAGGAATTGCAATATTAAAAAAAATCCATTCTTCTACCCAAGACACTTACGGTATCCATCAAAGGCGCAGTCGTAGAACCAACGTGCGCTGTTCGTTCCGAATGTGCTGAAGCTTATGTAGTTAATGCTGAGCGCAGAGGCGTCGAGGAAATGCAGCAGTGGCTCCTTCTTGAAGCCGGGTATGTAAACGTACAGGTCGCCATCTGCAGATTGCCTTCTTTTATGAAAATGCAATTTAATTGAAAGTAATTTTAGCTGCGTCTAACCTTTCGTTTGCACGATCTCAATGGGCGTTGGCTCGTATATCGAAAGCAGTTGCGGATCTTGATTCGTGGAGACGCGCCGCAAGCCCATGCTTGTGCGAATAGCGGAAAACGTATTTCCGCCGGCCCCTATCACTGCGAGGGAGAACTATTTGAGCAAAAAACAATGCGCTTGCATCTCAATAAAAGGGCTTACCGATCTCATATACGCGATCATTGGGGCGTGGCCGGTTTGTTACCGAAAGTAAAATATGCGCATCCATGCTGGTCAGCACGTAAAATTTCAGATGCAGCCGCTCATTTGACTTGACATTGTTGTTATCCAAAGTGTGCACCATAAAAAAATCCTTGTATGCATAGCCACTTGACGCATCAATGTCGATGCTATCGCATGTATCCAATTGCGCAAAGCTGATATTGTAACGGCCCTTCGCTATGACCGGACGCTGTGACAGAACCAGATACAACAAACTGCTGATAAGCCATTTTGTGGATGCTATCATTTTAACCGATGTGTTCAGTATTCGTTCTAGTCCCAAAGGCAACTGAAAACTGAAGCGTACGCGCCTTTGTCATCGTAATCGAGGGCCACCGGGCAACGATTATATGTTATCGTAAACGATTTAATTATCGAATCCAAGCAACGCTGCCATCAAAATTTAGTATTTTTCTTTCTACTTTTCGATACGGTAACTTTGTATTTTCGAAATGTTGAATAAGGTGGATATGAAACGCTTTTTTTGATTTGCAATTTGAAATGTTGCTACTTTAAACACAATATGTATTCATAAATTGGGGAAATTTTGTTCTCCAACAGCTCAACAGATCAGGTTATTTACACCTTTTATTCTTTATTAATTTTATTTATAATATATAAATGGATCTCTATGTAACGTGACAATGACGTTAAATAAATTTAAACTGAAGAATGTTAAATTAGGAATAATTACTAGGCACTGCAGCCTGACAACTTCGCATGTAATAAAAGCTTATTGTGCAAAGTTGCAACGCCAAGTAAATAATCTTATTAAAACATTGAACTGGTTTCTTCAAGAGTACATGAACCGATCGAAAGTCGCACTAGTGATATATCGATATTTATTCATCATCCCTAAAATATCGATACGATAGACTATCTGTCGAATTACTTCAGTTCAATTTTCATTTAAATTCAACATTGTTTTATTTGGCAATTAAGCGACACAAAGCTGATCCGCTGTAGCTGCTCAATTGGCCATGCAGGACGACACGCAAGATGCCAAAGCGCAGAAACTAGCCGCGGCGCGTAAAAAGGTAAAAGTAAAATTGAAAAACATCGTGACGTGGACACCCAACACTCTGCCTTGTATTGATTTTGATTATTGTTTTAGCTGAAAGAGTATCAGCAGCGCAACAACAACAACAATGAGGAAAACGTTGGTACAAACACCCATTCGTCGACAGTGAGCATAGCCAGCAATTTGTCGGAACGTTCCGACTGTGAGTTAAGCTCAAGCAATGGCGGCGGACCGCAGCACACGGTGGAGCAGCACACAACGCCAGCCCCAACCGGAGTGGCTGCATATTTTTCACAACAGACAGTACCGCTTATAGAGCCGGAACCAAGCCTAGCACAATCTATTTGGCCCCACAACGGTCAAGGCGATACCAATTTGCAAACAATTCAAGTATTGATTGCTGAAAAAGCTCAGTTGAATACGGAGTTGACTAAGTGCCGGCATGTGTGCCGCGAGCGAGAACTGGAACTTGAGGAGCTACGCACAGAGCATGGCCAGACAACGCAACGGTTGAAGCAAATCCAGCAGCATTGTCAGGATCAGCAACGCGGCGCGGAGCAGCAGCGCAATCAAAATGCTGAGCTTCAGCACAAAATAGCACTGGCGAATGCCGAAATCGAGGATAAAAATGCGCATCTGAGCGAGCTGGAAGCCCAACTCCTGCAGCTAAAAGCTCAAAAGGACGAACTACAGCAGCAGCACGCTGACAAGTGCAATGAGCTAGATATGGCACAACTGCGTATACGTCAGATTTCCGACGAGTCCAACGTCAATGCGGACAATCGCGTGGAGACGCTCACCCAAACACAGTATATGTACGAGCAGCAGATACGGGACTTACAACAGATGGTAACACAGCTGACGCAGGACAAAGAACAAGCGGCGGTCCAGTATCAGAACTATGTGGCGAACCTTAAGGAACGCAATGCGGAACTAGCGGAGGAGACTGCAGAGCTTAAGGAGCGCGAGCGCCAGCTCGTGGAGCATGTCAGCGGCTTGGAACGTGATATCCAAAAAAATTTGGCTCTGCAAGCGCAATACAAGGAGGCAGCAAGCAACCAATCCCAGCAATCGCAAGAACAGTCAGAGGTGAGTGCTATTCTTGGACCAAAGATTATAAAAAACACACAATTTCCTTGTAGACGGCTTTACGAACTGAGCTGACAGCGCTAAAGCAGCGGATCAGCGACTTCGAATTTGAGCGACACGAGTTCCAGTTAAAAATCAAATCCCAGGACGATCAATTGCAGTCAAAGGAGAACAAACTCGCAGAACTGGAAGAGGAGTTGCATCGACTGCAAACAGAGCAGCCGGATCAGGTCAAGCTACTGGCCACCATGGAATCCGATAAAGTAGCGGCATCGCGAGCTCTTAGCCAAAATATGGATATGAAGCAGCAACTGGATGAGCTGCAGGTACGTTTTGTGCAGCTCACCAACGACAAATTGGATTTGGTCAATAAACTAGATGCCGAGGAGTTTGCCAACCGTGAAATGCGCCTTAACTATGCAAATATGGAGCGCAAGTTGCAGACTAACGAAGAACGTTTTAAATTCAAAGACGAGGAGATGATACGACTCTCGCATGAGAATGTCGAACTTCAGCGCACGCACCTTATGCTGCAACAGCAGCTGGATCGCCTTCAGCACTATGAAGTAAGTGAATGAAAGTTAACGGCAGCCGTATAAACAATAAATCATGCTTTACTTACAGGCCAAGGTTTATCACAGTCACGATCAAAAGGAAACATCATCTGCAGAAACTGAAGCAGCAGAAGGCGCTGTTGAGGTGCACGAGCACGACCATGCTGAACATAAGCACGAAGAGGATCACCATCACCATCATCCAGAACATTCCCACGGCGATCATTTGTCCACTTGCGAGACACCGTTGCTGCCCACCGCCGAGGCCGTGGAAAAGCTTCAGTCACGCTTTACGACACTCATCAGCCAAGTCGCGGATCTGACCGAGGAGAAGCACAGCCTGGAACATCTGGTGTTGCAGTTGCAAAGCGAAACGGAAACCATTGGCGAATACATTGCCCTCTATCAGACACAACGGCGCATGCTGAAGCAGCGCGAGTATGAGAAAGCCGCGCAGATGCGATTGCTCAAAGCAGAGCGTGAACAGTTGCGAGAAAAGATTGACGCGCTTAACAAGCTCGTGGGAAGCTTGGGCCTGGCCGTTGAGCTGCCAGCGGAACAGCAGCAGCCAGCAACAGATAGTAACGCCGCATCGGATCAGCCGCAGTTACCTTCAAGCGAAAACGTAACAGAGAATGAAAACTCGCAACAGATACTACACAAAATACAGGACATAATAACAGAAATCAAAGTAAATACAGAACAGTCGCCAACCGCCTTGTCCAATGTGGCACAGCCTGGCCATGCCGTGGATCATTTGAACTGCTGCCTTGGCAAATTTGAGGTTGTGTGAACAAGACAACGAAAATGCAAATGTTAACATATTGTATTTAAAGTGCAATTATTTGTCAGCGTAATCGCGTTTTCGCTTTCACCGCCCTCTATAGTTTATACACAACTCTTTTGTATATGTTTCAAGAATATCAAATAATCAAACTAATTGGGGCTTACCATAGCTCTAAAAATAAAATATATTTAAAATTTATGCGGTTACAATTGTTTAACAGCAATTTGTGATATTTGCTTGAAAACTTTATATTAGTTAATTTCGGTGTTTTTATTTATGTTTGTAAAATCAAAATTAACGGATAAAGATTAATATAAATCTTAACTATGCAATTTATATCTCGACCGTGCTATATCTTTGAAAGGGAAACTGGCTCGAATCCCAGGCTAGTGTATGGATGCAGTATTATTTTTACTGATAACTATATCCTATATTAAAATTACTAACAATGTTTGAGAAACAAGATATTACACTCAAGAATTTAAGTTCGGCCTATAGTGTTCCGGTATGTACTGAAGACTCACCTCGTCGTCCTAATCGAAAACATACTAGACATAATAGCTCACAAGGGATAATTTGAGTAGAAGATAAGGCGATAGACTTATCTGGTCGAGAATATGTAGACGTCAACAATTTAAGCATACTCTATGGATAACAATCAAAATCAAATCAGTTTATGACATACTTTTAGAGTGAATGTAACATTCTTGAATGACCTACAATAAAAACAGACTTTATTTACTTTGTGTCTCATTTCGCATTTTGGAGTTTAATTTGGGTTCCTTAAGCGACTTGGGCCTACAGCTACGACTGGGACGACTAGACATCGAGCAGTCAGTCCTAGATTGATCCGCCCTGCTATTTGCGCTGTTTGTGCGTTTGGGTTTCGCCATTGCAGAGGCAGGTTTCCAATTACTAGTTAAAGTTTCTTGTTCTCGCCGCGGTGTGCTGCTATCGCCTGGTCGATTAGCTATTCCGTTGAAATTGCTAAAGTTTAATTGACTACGGCGTGGCGTTAGTGCTGGCCCCGCATTTGGAGAGGGGCACTGAATAATCACATGCATCGATGAACTCGTTTGAGCAGCCAGCCTTACATGTTCTATGCTTGGCTCCAGACTGTCGCTCTTAGTGTCAGTTTTGTGGACACGCGATGATCTACAGTTCGCTGCTGTAATCCTTTGGCTAGCTGCAAGATAACTTTGCTGGAAATCACATTTTCCATGCTCTATGCTTGGATCTTTCATAGTGTTCTCAGTCTCATCTTGAGTGGATGCCGCTACACAATGTGATTTTGTGATCTTTAGATTGGGAATCACACTATCTGTTTTGTTGGTCAGATCACGCAGAGGCAACGGGGACAACTCCATGCTGCTACTCGAGGCCCTTAGTTTCTGTGGCTCATGCAATTTAAGGGACGAGGACAAAGTGTTATCCTCACTATCGCTCTCCTCAATAATAGAATACATATCAGCGACTGGCGTTGGAGACACCAGCAACTGGTCTGGTGATGGACCTGCTTCTTGGCAATCGGGCGAGTCCATGTTTCCCTGCAGCTCTACCAAGTGCCGTGGCTCTGGTGTTTTCCTGACGATTACCAATCTTTCTTTCTGAAACAAACAGTTAAATGTTACTTTGGGAAAGGTTTACCTTGTCCAACAACTTACTACAGGACTAGACTCTTTCATTTCCTCATGGCTAGTGACACTACAAGAACTTAGACTCCGACTCCGTCTTGTAGGGGATACGGCCAGACTTCTTTGAAGTAGGGCGCTGGAACGGCGCAACACGGAGCAAGCTTGGCTACTACTGTAGTGGCTGTGCCTAACATTATCTGATGCCGCTGAAGTTCGCGTTGTAGGGTAATCACCGTTTCCGTCCAAATTCACATCCAGGGAGTTCATGAACGTCCTGAGTGCGCACTTCAGTTTGTTTTCGTTATACTGTGCGTCTGCCAAACGCATTTCACGTTCTTCCAGCAACTGCCTTTTCAGCAATACCTCAGCCTTACGCATTTCTCCAATAGTTATTCGCTGCTTTTGCACCTGATCCATCAATTCAGCATTTATTAATTTGTATTGCTCCATTATGCCATTAAAATAAATATACAGCTCCACGGAAAGACAATTTGAGTTTGGCGTCGATGCCAGAAATGGTATCGATTAATACGCAAAAGTACTTATCGATTTTATCGAAAGCCGACATTGTTATAAAAGCGATAAGTAATTCGAGCCACTGTCGGTTACTTCACTGTAAATACATATTACATTGTGTAGAGTATTGACTCAGTAATTACAATATAGATGATGTCACATAATAATAACACTAAAATAATAATAACAACTAGTTAAAAACGTAGGCGGCTGTCAAATAACATAAACTATGACCGTTTTAAATTATAATAATAAAAGATAGCAATTGAAGACAATATCGATAGGTAATATAAAAATAATATTTTTCGATAGCACATTTGTGTAATAATCGATGCCACATTAAGCATCGACGCCAAACTCAAAATAGTCTTTGCCTGGCGCTGTGTATTTATATTGATGGGATAATGGAGCAGTACAAATTAATAAACGCCGAATTGATGGATCAGGTGCAAAAGCAGCGAATAACTATTGGAGAAATGCGTAAGGCTGAGGTATTGCTGAAAAGGCAGTTGCTGGAAGAACGTGAAATGCGTTTGGCAGACGCACAGTATAACGAAAACAAACTGAAGTGCGCACTCAGGACGTTCATGAACTCCCTGGATGTGAATTTGGACGGAAACGGTGATTACCCTACAACGCGAACTTCAGCGGCATCAGATAATGTTAGGCACAGCCACTACAGTAGTAGCCAAGCTTGCTCCGTGTTGCGCCGTTCCAGCGCCCTACTTCAAAGAAGTCTGGCCGTATCCCCTACAAGACGGAGTCGGAGTCTAAGTTCTTGTAGTGTCACTAGCCATGAGGAAATGAAAGAGTCTAGTCCTGTAGTAAGTTGTTGGACAAGGTAAACCTTTCCCAAAGTAACATTTAACTGTTTGTTTCAGAAAGAAAGATTGGTAATCGTCAGGAAAACACCAGAGCCACGGCACTTGGTAGAGCTGCAGGGAAACATGGACTCGCCCGATTGCCAAGAAGCAGGTCCATCACCAGACCAGTTGCTGGTGTCTCCAACGCCAGTCGCTGATATGTATTCTATTATTGAGGAGAGCGATAGTGAGGATAACACTTTGTCCTCGTCCCTTAAATTGCATGAGCCACAGAAACTAAGGGCCTCGAGTAGCAGCATGGAGTTGTCCCCGTTGCCTCTGCGTGATCTGACCAACAAAACAGATAGTGTGATTCCCAATCTAAAGATCACAAAATCACATTGTGTAGCGGCATCCACTCAAGATGAAACTGAGAACACTATGAAAGATCCAAGCATAGAGCATGGAAAATGTGATTTCCAGCAAAGTTATCTTGCAGCTAGCCAAAGGATTACAGCAGCGCACTGTAGATCATCGCGTGTCCACAAAATTGACACTAAGAGCGACAGTCTGGAGCCAAGCATAGAACATGTAAGGCTGGCTGCTCAAACGAGTTCATCGATGCATGTGATTATTCAGTGCCCCTCTCCAAATGCGGGGCCAGCACTAACGCCACGCCGTAGTCAATTAAACTTTAGCAATTTCAACGGAATAGCTAATCGACCAGGCGATAGCAGCACACCGAGGCGAGAACAAGAAACTTTAACTACTAATTGGAAATCTGCCTCTAAAACGGAAAAACCAAAACGAACAAACAGCGCAAATAGCTTGGCGGATCAATCTAGGACTGACTGCTCGATGTCTAGTCGTCCCAGTCGTAGCTGTAGGCCCAAGTCGCTTAAGGAACCCAAATTAAACTCCAAAATGCGAAATGAGACACTAACCAAATAATAGTTTGCTTGATATTGATATTCAAAAAAGTGAGTTCAGTTGTGAGCATTCTACGCCCTTAGAGAACCATCGCCAGGAAGATACTCTAAAGGGTTTTATAGCAGCTTACAAATATAAAATATGTTAATTATAAAATACATTGGCAAAAGCAATTATGCAAACTGTGTCTAGGATTATATTGTTCATATATTAATTGTCCAAATGCTGTATTAGAAATATGTTCACCCTCATGTATTAATAAAACATTTTGTAAATAATACTTCAAGAGTTTTCTTCTACCCATTTCAAATGACATTTAGGTATATATGAATGTATATTGGGTCGATTGGATATATAACCAAAATTCTTAACAGTTTTGTACTGTTAAGTTTTATAACTGTCGTCAACACAAGTTTAAGCTGTGCGTTGATTAACTATCATTCAGTCAGTCAGAGTCAATTAAAGTAAACATTAAACAAAATAAATAAATAGGTATAATACTTTTAAGCTAGTAAGTTTATTGTTAAGGGAGTACCTTTATGTAATATAAGTATTTTGTTGAGATGCGTAATTTGATGGTTTCCAACACTTATTCAAGACATCGGCTAAAAATCATCGCGTATTGCCACAGCCTATCGATATCAGTCGTACCGCTGCCAAAGTCTTTAGTGTTACATGGTTGTATTTGCTAACTATCTATCCTGCCTACTAATATTCGCCTGCAAAAACAAATGCAAAGCAAACAACACTAGCAGAATTGCGATGTCCAGCAACCGGCCAAACATAAAAAATGCATAAAAAGCGTAAAACTCAATCAACTTAATGGCATACAATGCAAAGTGCGCTTAATTGTTAATGCAGCGGACAGAGAAAGCACAAATCTCTCAGTCCCAAGTTGCTCGTGTGTGTATGCGCTTGTGTGTGTGCGTGTGTGTATGTGTCTATTAATCAAACATAGTTTCTACGTTTTTTTTTTTTTTGGCACATTTACTAGGAAATTTTATTTACATTTACATTTTTATATAAATCGGACCTATTAAATTTATACAGTGGATTTCGGACAAGCAAAACAACTTCTTAAATTGCTGACCGCGCAACCAGCGCCCGCCCACCTGCAACAAAAACATTCGGGCAATGCATGCGTCTGCTACGTTGTTGTTTCATTGCGCCGCAATTGTTTAATTTGTAGCCTTTTTGTTTGCGTTAATATAAATTTAAGATCGAAAGTGACGCAGAATCCAAACGTCAAGTGCAAGTGAAGGCTTTCGCCTCGCGCTTATAACACCAACGACATAGAGAATAATCGCTGCAACAACAACGAATCAGCTGTCAAACCGCTTCAAGGTAAGTTTGTTTGTAAATTAACCTGTTTTAAGAGTATTTTTTTTTTGTGCTGCTCAGACTTTAAGCAAATAAGTAAGAAAAAAGTCTCAAGTGATATCGATAACCGATTGCCTGGCTTCCCTTACAGCTTATCGATAGCTTTTGACTTTTCTGCCATTTCGTCTTCACCTGCTTCCCCAGACATGGTATATAGATAAATAAATATATATGTTATATGGATGTAGGCTACATGTTATGTAAATCTTTCCAAATAGTGAGTTCATTATGTATGCCAAGTGCTAGATGCGATACGAACAATGCAAATTGATCGTTGCCGTTTCTGGGCAGTTTGTCGCTCCGATATCTTATCTGCAACTGGACGGTAATATATGTATGTGTGTGTGTATATATATATGTATGTATGTATGTGCCTAATACTTTTCCCATACACATGCAAACACTTCAACTAGGCGTATCAGTTCAAGAGCTTTTTGCTATTTGCCAATATAATAGATATTTTTTAAATATTCGTGAACATTTTATTATAATTAAGAATTTTGTTTCCCAAATGTAACATTTTTGGCAAGATTTTCTTGAATCAAGTTTTATAATGATCATTTTAGTTAAGCTGCACAAGCTGAACGATGCAAAAAGTATCGTATTAGTAGTGTTAATTAAGATTTAAATGCTTTTAACTTAATGTGTTTACCTTCGCAATAACGAATCTGTAATTTGCCGGCACGATCAGCTGGTAGCCTGTAATAAGTTGTGGTGCAATAAACTTGCTTTGATTTTTATCAGCTCGTCTGTCATTTTGCCATTTGTCATATTTTGTTTTAATCACATTAAGCAAAACGTTGCACCTGCAACTGCAACTGCAACAACAACAAACAAATCGGCCCAGCACTGACCTACAAAGAGTGCAATGCGCCCCGCCACTGGCAAATTGCAATTGCCTTCGTGCAGGGGTTGATTTTAAGTTGGGCTAGGCGCGAAAATACTCGCACAAAAGTAAATACATGTATGTATGTATGATGAGAGCATTGAACCGAACCTGCCGCTAAAAACATGAACAATATAACACTCGAAAGAATCCGTCAACAGTTATGTGTGTGTGTGTGTGTGCACGTACTTTCGTAGCTCTAAAGAATAGTTAGCAACGTTTCTACAAGCAACGTTCAATGTAGAAGACACAAATTGCATTTATCGAACTCTATTGCCAGGTATTTCCTTTGCAAACTGCTGTGGGTCAATAAAGAATGTTAAAATCGGTTTCGATAAGTTTGCTTTTATGTGTGTGGGTGCATAAGTACTCAAACTACAGATAACTGGAATATAGTATGACACATTTTTACCAAGCTCCGTATATATATACATAACATTTATTCCAAAGTCGACTATTTCCAGTTAAGGAACATATTGTGGAAGGTAAAAAGTACTATATGTTATATAATGCCACTGCTAAAACTGCAGACATGCTCGAGTTCAATGTCATTTAGGCGACCCGTTCATGGTGGGGGGAGGCACATGCAAGGCACGTCAACGTTTTCTATTGTTGGAAATCCGTTACTCTCGTCCGCTACTCTCCCGCACACATGCACCATAAAAACACTTGGCAAGAGAGGCTGAGATAGCGTGCCTGCAGTTTTGACAATGGTATTCAGATTGCAACCTTGTAAGCGGCCATTCGTCAAGTGTTGTAAAACACGAAAATGCAATACTTTTCGAGCTGCCGTTCAGTTTCATTGGCACGTCTGCTACGCATGATATATGCAGCATAATGTGCATTTCCTTATGATCTGAATCATTAAAAAGCTCTCGTACAAACTTATAAATAAAACGTGTAAATCGAGGTTGAAATACCCTGCGAGGATGACATTGCCTTGAATGATGTATGATAATGTTAATATACCCTAGAGCGCGAGAATGACAAAGCCTAGAATGATGTATTAAAAATCTTGAAAGTCTGCGGCACACAATAACTACATAATGTGCAATTAAATAAGAAATAGTCATGTTTGTCTCTAAAAATATTCCATAGTTAAGTATTTTACGACAGATCGTGAATAAACTGAATGTCATAGTTACTAAACTCTCAGATATCGAGTGTATCAAAAACAAACAATTTTGTGCCTTTCGCTTCCTCAATTCGCATGGAGATTGGTGACTCATTGAAATGTTGATTGTTTACATCATTGTTTGTTCCTCGTGTTATTGTGATACATGCAAAACCCAAAGTGAACTCAACACCGTTGTTGTCATTGAGCCCATGTCAACGCTGCAATATTTTGCATTAGTTATTTAAGTATTGTGCGACGGTGTTGGAAACCGCATTTTAATAAACCCAACAATGAGCCTCACTTTGTTATTGCTATTGTTGTTGTTGTTGTAAGAGAATATGGTTGAGCATAATGCATACTGAATTCAAGGCATGCGTGGAATATAGCTTACAATTACTATATATTATTATTATCTTGATAGAGAAAATATTTTATAAAGAGATCAAAATGATCTCTAACTTACACTGAAATTGATTCCTATAAAAGTAATTTATATTTAATATTGAGTTTCTCGTAAACTATTTAAGTTCTATAGGATATCGACTTACCTCGTCAACTGGCTTAGATACGTCTATATTTTATATTTATTATATTACCCTTTCTAGCGAATAATACATTATAATTACATTATTTATCAATAAAATATACGTTGAGCGTGTTTAAACATTAGGTTAAATGTTTTTCATCTCATGATTGGGATTCTTTCTTAAACTGTGAAAATGCGTACTCTTTCAAAATCGAATGACTTCCAGTTTATTTGTTTGTGATTCAGCCTGTTTAAATTATACGCAAAATCCGCGATTGCTCATCAATTTTTCAAGTTTCATTGATAATATTCTCTGCTCTCCCAATGCTGTCTGTTAAATGATCTCAGATATGTGCTTACTTATTGTAAACAAAAATTCTTGCTTTACGTACGTGTTGTACATATATAAACCTCGATCTTCGGCTACATATACACAATAAATATATATATATATATATATATATATATATATATATATTGCTCTGATGTCATAGCAAGCGGTGCAAATGCCGCATTTGTTTATTTTCATCTCTGAAAATGCTTTGCACTGCGGTCACATATTATTATCATTTGCGAGACATTTGGAATTTCAATTAAATAGCACGGCGTTCAGTTTTTACAATTGTTAGCCCAAAAGACATTGAAATGCTAATTAACTGCGTGAACTGCGTCTGGAAGCCAATGCCAGCCGATGGCCGATGGCCGATGGCCAAGACAAACCCCAAAACTAAAGACAGACACGAAAAGAAATTGAAAGCGAAAGTTTATTGTTGACACTTGATGATTTTATTATTTAATCCGTATTAAAACCAACCGGTTTCGAGTGCAATATATATCTTGTGTCTTGTGTATATTATTATTATTTCATTTTTATTATGATATAAAGTTTTTAATACTCTTTTCGCTTGCTGAACATTTAATCAATTCATCAGACAAACAATTGATTCTAAAAGAAATGAGATGGTAAGAATATCTTTAAGCTTGTAGTTATTTTCATTTTTGCTGACATGTCAGATTATGAAAATCATTTTGCCATGTAATATCCTACTAGTTGACCGATCTCTCCAGACGAAATAGACTCTAGTTTTTGACTGAATAGATTTGGCTCATATTAAGGAAGCATAACAAATACGGATCAAGATGATCAAGATGAACCTAATTTTCGACTGATCGACTGATCTATAGAAAAAGAAGACTTCAAAGGTTAAGACTTCAAAGGATATTACCCTAACTCGCACTCTCGATTAAAGCATTCTTCCTTGTTGAATACAGATCACGAAACAAAGGACTTGAGCTATTGTTGCAAAGTCTGACTCAGAACTCTCGTTTGCATAATCTAAATTGTATTCTTGCATAATATTATTGTATGTTTGGTTGATTGCTAATGTAGATATTTTTGTGTGATTTAGGTTAAACAAGTAATCGAGTAGCTCGACTAGCAAATCCCCAGTACCTCCCAGTCAATATAATATTTTGGTTTAAAGGTTTACGCTTTGAATTCATTAAATCATAAAATATATATTAATATAAGTTCCAACATGATAACGCAATTTAATATTGAATAACTTTCATATATATTTTTCGATCTTCATAAGTTTTGAAGATTTGATTTGAGAATATATATGTATATATATATATATATATATATATATATGCATACTATTCTATAATGCTTTAAAAACCCAAGTCTCAATATCGATTATTACTGATATTTTGGAAATATGGCGAGAAATCGACAAAAATATGACTGGAAACTTAAATCGACTCAGTTCATTGTGGTTGAATTTCAATATACGATTTGTACTCATGCTGGATTGGATGATTCAATCGGATCGCCCGATCTTAAGAATACGCAAAGTTTCTATTCACTTCTGCAAATGTGCTCGGAATGTGTCAAATAAACGCGTGCACACAATTTAGGGTTTTTCTTGTGAGCTTCTGACTCATGGCAAATAATTTACTGGAAATTTAAAGGCATTAGGCACCAGGCATTTGTATAGTCGCTATATCTTATCTGGAAGACGACAAACTTATCGTTTTGCAGTGCATAAGCAAAAATACCTGGCGATATTTGAAAAAGAGCCTTTACTTGGGAAAGAAGCGCGCGCTCTATATGTTCTATGTATTATCGGGTAATATCAATTTGATAACGCCTGGCAGTTCAAGTTCATTGACTGGGATTAGCCTGGTCGACGCTGGCATTCCTTCAAGACAGAGCATTGAATTGATGTTGGTTACGGAATGACTCACACGTCAGAGGGGAAAATCGGTCCGGGAAACAATATACGAATGAGTTTATTGCTGTTTTATCCTGGCTCGCGATTCCCACTTATTCAATTAATGCTTTCGAGGTGTGTTGCCGCGTTTGTGACAATAAAATGCCACTTCGCCCCACCCTTTTTAACTCCTCGATTGACCCAAACTGTCATCAAGTT